CTGTTGGGGGCGTGCGAGAGGCAACCGATGGGTGTTTCTCACGCACATCGATGTCTCTCTCCCCCTCCCTTCCCCCTTTTTCTAACAAATAAGTAAAGTTTTAAAAAAAATGCATGAGGATTAAATTAGCTAATATGGGGAAGATGGCGCCTTAGATGTGAAATTGGAGCCTAGAATATGGAGGTAGAGTGCGGAATGTGAGACTGGAATTTAGACTACCCAGCTGGGGCTCGAGTAGAACTCGGAGAGGAGGGGGGAGTGGAATTTGAACCCTGGGAGAGGGGGAAGGAATTTTGGCCCGGAGGCGGACGTGGGATGAGATAGGAGAAGACAATGAGCGAGATAGACAATGGAGGGGCTAAGTGTTTGTGGCGGGGTTAAGATAGTTCAGCTCTGGGGCTGAGGCTTTGAAGGCCTGGACCCGGTGGGTGGGGCTTTGGGTGGGAGGAGTCGGCACAGGCTATTGATTGACAGTTTCTCCCTCCGCCAGACTAACCTGCTCGGAAGATGAAGGTTCTGTGGGCCGCGCTGCTGGTCGCCCTCCTGGCAGGTATGAGGCGGGGCTTGCTCGGGTTCCTTGCCTCTCCCCGTCCCATCCTCACCTGTACCCTCCGATGCGCCTTCTCCTCCTTAAGAAGAGGCCTGGGTCTGAGGCCTTTCCTGGCAGTCGCTGGCTCTGAGCAGTCGTGTTACTCTCCCTGGACCTCAGTTTTCCCGTCCTTAAAATGGGAGTTGTGAGTTTCTGATGCCTCGTGCTCAGACAGGCAGTGAGCACGGCATAGGAGCCAGCCGAGATTGCCTTTGTCCTCCACCGCCCCGGCACGGCGCGCACCCAGACACCCAGTAAATGCGTGTCAGGAGGGAACACAGGCTGGCCATCCCTCCACCCCCTCCCTGACCACCAGTGCTCTAAGGAAGCACACCAGCATTTGTGGAGCACCCGCTGCGTGCCTAGAGAAGGCAGAGGGCCTTCACAGCCTCCAACGGGTTCCACGCAGGATGCCAGGCCGAAGTGCAGGAGGTGAAGCCGGGGCTGGACCCCGAGCCGTGGCAGGGCGGCCAGCCCTGGGAGCAGGCGATGGGCCGCATCTGGGATTACCTGCGCTGGGTGCAGGCGCTGTCTAACAAGGCGCAGGAGGAGCTGCTTGGCACCCAGGTCACTGAGCAGTTGACGTGAGTGCCCCCCCCCCGGCCGCCCCTCCCTCTCCTGGTGGGCAGTTCCTTCTGGATCCTCAGCTTCCACTAGTCTGCAACCCTGAGGAGGGGTCTCTTCACGTTTGGCTTCCTCTTTCTATTTTGAACTCCCGGCTTTAACTCTCTCTGGTTCTTCCTCGGCTCCTCCTGTCTGGGGCATGTTCCTTTTTGTCTCCCAGCATCATTATAGCCTCCCGGCTCACCCCCTCTGTTCCTATCTGTCTCCGTCTCCTCCTCTTGGCCTCTTCTCTTTTGGGTCTCTCTGCCTCTGCCCCCGACGTCTGGCCTCCTCCACCGCATCTTCCACCCTGTTTCTGTCCCCACACGCGCCTCCCTTCCACCCTGTCCGCCTGCAGAGTGTTGATGGAGGACACCATGAGGGAGGTGAAGGCCTACAAGGAGGAGGTGGAGAAGCAGGTGGGCCCCATGACCCAGGAGACGCATGCCCGCCTGTCTAAGGAGCTGCAGGCGGCGCAGGCGCAGCTGCAGACAGACATGGAGGATTTGCGCAGCCGCCTGACCCAGTACCACAACGAGGTCCAGTCCCTGATGGGCCAGAACCTCGAGGATGCTCGGGCCCGCCTGGCCTCCCAACTGCGCAAGCTGCGCAAGCGGCTCCTCCGCGACGCTGAAGACCTGCAGAAGCGCCTGGCCCTCTTCCAAGCCGGGGCCCGCGAGGGTGCGGAGCGCGGGGTCAGCGCCCTCCGCGAGCGCCTCGTGCCGCTGATAGAGCAAGGCCGAGAGCGGGCCGTCACGGTCGGCAAGCCGCTGCGGGATCAGGCGGAGGCGTGGGGCCAGCGGCTGCGCGGAAAGCTGGAGTCGGTGGGCAACCAGGCCCGCGACCAGCTGGACGACTTGCGCGATCGGATGGAGCAGTTCCAGGCCAAGGTGGAGGAGCAGGCCAACCAGGTGCGCCTGCAGGCCGAGACCTTCCAGGCCCGCCTCAAGACCTGGTTCGATCCCCTGGTGGAAGACATGCAGCGCCAATGGGCGGAGCTGGTGGAGAAGGTGCGGTCGACCTTGGGCACCAACGACCCCGCCCTGCCCAAGGAAGATCCATGAGTGCCGGCTGGCCGTGAGGCCTGGAAGACCCCACTCCAGCCACCCCCTCCCCCTGCATCTCCCAGCCCGCAGGGGCCCCGTCCCTGCCCCTGCTGTACACCTGGTGGGCCCGGGCTTAATAAAGTTTAAGCAAGTTTCACAGCAGCGGCTGGGCGTCTGAGTGTGGTTTCTCATAGCCCCGGCCCCCGGTTCCCCTTCCCCGGCCCTCGGTTGTCAGGCCTGGCCCCTCTGCCTGTGCGTGGGCCTGTTTCCTGGCCCTACGCTGTCCGGGCTTCTCTTCGCTGCTCACTCTTTCTCCTCTCCCTCTCTCCATGCCGTCCCTGAGCTGAGACAGGGTCCTGGAACCAGTCCACCTGGGGTTCAATCCTGCGGTTGCCCCAGCGACCGTGGGCCTGAGTTTGCGCAACGTTGTTCTACCTGCTTCTCAGCGTTGCCAGGACTCAAAAGTCCTGAGTCTGCTGCCGTTATTAAGCTGTTTTTATTTTTCCCCACTCATTTCCTCCCCCTTTCTGCATCCAGTCTTTTTAAAAAACATTTAATTTATTTCTAGAGAGAGGGGAAGGGAGGGAAATGTCGACCAGTTGCCGCTGGTACACATTCCAGCCCTGACCAGGAACTGAACCTGCAACCCAGGCCTGTGCCCTGCCCGGGAATCGAACCAGCGACCTTTCGCTTTGTGGGACAACATACAGCCCACTGAGCCATACCAATTAGGGCTCCGGGAGGTCTTACCTGCGTCTGCCTCCTTCCCTCTCCCGGCCTGTCTGTCCTGCTCTTACCCAGAGGCCCCGCTTTTCAGGTGCCCTGTCTTCCTTCTGCCTCCATGTCTCATCTCTTCCCCCCTCAGGTTGCTCTTGCCCCCGCCCAGCTTTTGGCTTTTTCCCTCCCTCCACCAGGGTGTGTTCTCTGCCAATGGGTTGCACGGCAGCCTTCTGGGTTCACAAGTCCCTTTGTTCTGAGCTGTGCTTCCTTGTCCCTCTCCCCTCGTTCTCATTCCTTTACTCCTGGTCGCTGGGTCCTGGTTGGACAGAGAAGGGAGAGGAGCCTCGCGGGAGGGTCTGCACAGCCCCCTGGAGCAGGACTGGGAGGTGGAGTCGGGAGTTGACAGGTGAGGGTTAAAGCCCCAGATGGAGCTGCAGGTGCCCTCCTCCCCCACCTTCTGGGTTCTCTGAGGAGGGGAGCAAGGGTTCCCTCCACAGGAGACTTGAGTTTGTGTCTGCAAGGGAGCCTACGTTTGTTGACTCGCTGAGAGCTGAGTGGGTGAGGAGGGGAAGGGTCCCTGGGCTCAGGCAGGGGGCCTGGTCCCAGCCAAGCCTGCTGCTGGTGTAGCTACTGTACTGTGTGCCCTGGGGCTGGGGCTGAACCCTCTTAGAGCCTCAGTTTCCCCAGAAGGCATGAGGTGGGCACCATCGGCCACACCCTCCACTTGAAGAGATGCATTTTGAATTCTCACACGTGAAAATGTCCAAGCACAGATCTGTCCTGGCCTCACTGCAGCCCCAGGCAGTTCTGAGAGGTGGGACAAGGGCTGGGAAGGAGCTTCGGGCCGACAGGCTGGCAGGGGCCGCTGTGGCACGGACACTGGGCCCAGCAGGAATCTGGGGAGACGTCGGCCTGGAGTCTGGGAGGGGCAGGGACAAAGGCCACACCCACACAGCCTTTGCACGTTCTTGACAGAGCCTCAGTTTCCCCATTTGTAACCAGACACCTCTAAGAGCTGAAGTGAGGATGGGACGGAAAAAGCAAAGTTATGCTATTCTTGCGGTGGGGTGGGGGGAGGGGAGCAGACATTTGGGTGCATGTCTGGGGAGAGCGGGGCTCACGAGGAAAGCAGATGTCTGGGGAGACAGCGGGGGTGGGGGGCAGGGGGTTGCAGGGACTGGAAGCTGCTGAGCTGGCCCGAGGGGTGTTGCAATCCGGCCAGGGGCCCCGTGTCCCTTTCACAACCACCCGCCCCCACCCCCAGGCTGACGCCTGGTTGTGGGGGCACAAGGCCAACCAACCTCGAGTCTGGGGCCTGGGGCCACCCTCCCCTGGGCTGCCAGGGGTTACTGGCGGTCAAAAGCAGCCAGGAAGAAGGGAGGAAGCTCTGGACTCCAGCCCCGGGGGACGGATGCAGGGCTGGGAGAGGAGACGGCTGAGGGGGGTGGGGTTGGTGCCGGGAGGCGCCTGAGAAGGTGAAGAAGTGCAGATGGAGTGTGTACAGGGGCCCCCCTGGGACTTGGAGAGTCATGGGGGCAATGGAAGGGTCTGGAGGAATACATGGAGGGGCGCACATGGGGAGCCTTGCAGATGAGGCTGTGTGGTTTAGGGGGACTGGGGACGGTGAAGTTAGGACCCCAGAAGGGGTCCAGAAAGGCTTAACATGCCCCCAGATGCAAGCAGACGGGGTCTCGAAGGGCTGGTCTGAACGTTAGAATGGAGGGGCCCCAGAGACAGGGAGGCAGGGTTGTGTTGAGCTTGCTAAGAAGGGGGAGGGATGGAAGAGGTGTCCTGGGGACACTCGGTGAAGTGAGTTACTCAGTGACAGAGTGACTGACAGACCCCCTGACGCTAGAAGGACGTGTGAGCAGGAGGGGAGGGGCCAAAGGTCCAGGTTGAAGCCCCTGCCCCCCACTGTCGAACTAAGGGACTTGCCTGTGCCCCACCTGCCCCCCAGCCCCCCAGCCAGGATGTCAGAGGAAGAGGTGGGTGGGCACAGGGAGGCAGGCACCAGGGGAGGGAGACTAGCCTGCCCCGCCCCCTCCCCAGCCGATAAAGGCCAGGCCAGGCGGGGACCTGCCGCTCTTGCTCTTGGATCCAGCGACTGATTCAGGTGGGTAACCCAGAGGGACCCTCCGCACTCACGAAAAGCACAAGGAAGGGGGTGGAGGAAGCTCGGGGGAGGCAGGAGGGTGCCCCTGCTCACCCCCACCCCTGTCTGCAGAGTCCCCCCTGTGGCCCAGCCATGAGGCTCCTGCTGTCCCTGCCCGTCCTGGTGGCGGTTCTGTTCATGGTTTTGGAAGGTGAGAGTGGGTGGGAGAGGAGGAAACTGGGGGTTTGAGATTTGGGAGCATGAAGCTGGCCGTGGGCCTAGCCGACCCTGGCCAGCTCTGGGGCCCCTCCCGTGCCCTGGCTCCCCTATTGTCCGCTGACCAACCCCCACGACTACCTGGCCAGGTGGCTCTCCCCAGGGCAGTCCGGCAGGTGGCAATACTCAGCTGGAGCACCGCCTGGTGGCTCCAGCACCCTCCCCATCCTAACACCAAGATCCCCGAGAATCACATCCCCGGAAGCTCACCCAAAGGGCTCCCAATACTCCTGCCCCTCTTCCCGGCAGGCCCGGCCCCGGCCCAGGCCGCCCCTGACTTCTCCAGCACCCTGGAGAGCATCCCGGGTAAGCTGAAGGATTTCGGGAGCACCGTGGAGGAGAAGTTCCGGGCAGCCGTGGACGAAGTCAAAAAGAGCGAAATTCATAAGAAGACCTGGTTAGGACCCTTCCCAGGGGCCTGGGAGGGCATGGGGTATCCGTTAAGACTGGGAGAACCTACAAAAGCCTTATGGCCACACAGCCGGATCTCAGCGGGCTCGGACTTGGGGCACGGGCTCCCTGACTCCCCCATCCGCCACTGTAGAGAGGTGGCCCCGGGCGGTGGTAGTGAAGGACCCAAGCTTGGAGGGTTCTGACAGGCCTGCGTCCACAGGCTGCCAGAGACTCTCTTCTCCCTGTGGGAACCTCAGTTTCCTCATCTGTAAAATGGGTGGTTCTGGGGGAGGCAAATTGGAGCATAGCTCCTGGGACGCTCGACACAGTGTTTAACCGCCAGTGGTGAGTTAGAGAATCATTTATTCATGAACAGATATTTACTGAGCATCCGCTAAGTGCCAGGACGTGTTCCAAAGCAGGGGGATAATATTGATGAACAACACACGTAAAGTCCCCGCCAACTGAGATCTGGCATTCGGGGGGGGGGGGGGGGGGCGGCGAGAGTGGGGAGAACAGATGCTAAATCAGTGAATTCCCAGGAGAGGAGTCCAGCTGGAGCTCAGTAATCGCCGAGAAAATGAGCAGAGTGGGTACAAACCACCCAGCGCTTGGAGAGTGGCTTTTGTAGGCTTGGGGACTGGGTCTCTTCTGAAGCTAAAACACTTTATTGTTTTTTTTAACTTTTATAGTAGGCATCTGTACTTGTCTCACTTTTTACATCTTCTTTCTTTATTTTTTTAATCCTCACCCAAGCGTATGTCTCTTGACTTTTAGGGAGAGAGGAAGGGAGAGAGGGAGAAACATCGATTGGTTGCCTCCCGTCCATACCCCTACTGGGGATTGAACCCGTGACCTCTTGGTATACAGGAAGACGTTCCAACTAACAGAGCCACTTAGCCGAGGAAGAGATAACACTTTAAACTGAGATCCATCCCTGGCCGGGTAGCTCAGGTGGTTAGAGCCTCATCCCAATACACTGAGGTTGTAGGTTTGATCCCTGGTCAGGGCCCGTACAAGAATCAACCAGTGAATGGGACCGAGGAGTGGGACAACAAGTCAGTGTTTCTCTCTCTCTCTCCCTCATTCCTCTTTCTTAATATCAATCAGTCAACATTTTAAAATATAAATTGAGATGCAATGATTAGGAAAATCCAGCCAGGCTGAGAAATGTGGGAAGAGTGTTCCCTGTGCAGGGTGGGCGCCAAGGTCCTGAGGCAGGAAGATCTGCAGATAATTGGGGGGGGGGGGGCATTCCCTGCGAGGGGGCTGCCTGGGCAAAGGCCGGGGGTCTGGACAGTGCCCTTGAGTGAACAGGGGACAACGAGGGCATGATCGGGCTTAGAGGAAGGGTTGGTAGCAAGAGGTGGTGGCAGGCCTCGAAACCCAAGCCAAGGCAAGGGGTTTCGACTTTAAGGAGCTCTGGTGCCTCTGGGAAACTGAGGCCCAGAAGTTGGGCCGCCCGCAGACAGAGGAAGCCCTGGGTGGGATTTGGGCATCCTGGGAGAGATGGCACACAGTGAGCCCTCCACCCCGGTCTCTCCCCACAGGTCCTGGCTTTCTGATACATTCAGCAAAGCAAAAGAGAAGATCGAAAGTACCTTCTCCTGAACGCCGGGAGGGCTGCCCCTCCCCGCCGTGGCTGTGTCCGAGGAAGGGGCTCTAAACTTTCCCCCACCCCCACCCCCTGTGCCGAGGACTTTCTCCGTGATGCCCCGTGACCCACCACCAATAAAATACCTATGAAGAATTCTGAGTGCTTCTTTCCTGAGGGGCAGGGGCTATGGGACAGATTAGGGGTGAGCGTTGAGAGCAAGAAGCAGAACTCAGGTGTATTATTGCTCATTCTCTGTGCTGAGGGCTCTGGACTTTGTGATCTCAAGAGAACCCTCCAGAGAACCTTGCACGCTGGGCCCTAGGAATCTCTTGAGGGCACTGAGGTCCGGAGAGGTGATGTCACTTGTGCAAGGTCACACAGCCAGGGAGGGGTGATGTCACTTGTGCAAGGTCACAAAGCCAGGGAGGGGAGAACTGGATGGGACCCCCGGCCTGGGGCATATAGCTTTTCCCCGGTGGGCTGCCCGAGGGAAGGGGTGGGGCAATTCCCCGCCGTGCACACAGCAGGTGTTCATTACACTTTCAGTGGCTGGTGCAGGAGGATCTGGCAGAGAGCAAGGGCAGGCAGGACTTGTGGGCTACGGACCTGTAAGAGGGCCCCACCCTCCAAGCCTCAGCATGAGGCCCCCTCCTCCAGGAAGCCCTCCTTCACTCCCAGACTGACTCAAACACCCGCATCCTCACTCTGCCCAGTCTGGGTTGTCACCATCTGGTGATGGGCGTCTCCCTCGCTGGACTTTGAGCTGCAGGAGGACAGGGCCAAGGCTGTTGTCACCACTGTGACCCGGGGACAGGGCACAGTGCAGGAGGCTCGAAAATATTTGGTGAAACAAGTGCACTAAATAGAAAAAAATTAGAAGTCCCATTTTTGCAAGACCCCACTGAGGTAGATGCTGTCTCTGACCCTGTGTTTCTGAGGGACAAACAGATGCTGAAGGCAGCAGCCACATGTGTGATGTCACAGACCAGAGAGGGGACGACTAGGATTTGCACCCAGCTGGGGGTCCGAGGGCCACACCTTTTTTTTTTTTTTTAAAGATGTTATTTGCACGGGCCTGCGAACCAGACAATCGCGGTTCGATTCCCAGTTAGGGCACATACCGGGGTTGCAGGCCGATTCCCTGCAGGCCAGTTCCCAGCAGGGGAGGCATGAAAGGCAACCATACATTGATGTTTCTCTCCCTCTCTCCTTCCCTTCCCCTCTAAAGATAAATAAATAAAATCTTTAAAAAAAAAAAAAAGATGTTATTTATTTGTCCTGGCTGGTGTGGCTCAGTGGATTGAGAGCCCGCCTGTGAACTGAAGGATCACCAGTTTTTTTAAATAAAGATTTTATTTATTTATTTTTAGAGAGGGGAAGGGAAGGAGAAAGAGGGGGAAAGAAACACCAATGTGTGGTTGCCTCCCGTGCGCAGCCCCCACTGGGGACCCAGCCGGCAACCCAGGCATGTGCCCGGACCGGGAACTGAACTGGTAAACCCTTGGTTTGCAGGTGGGCACTCAATCTACTGAGCTACACAAGCCAGGGCCCAGGGCCACATTCTTACTCAGTCCACTCTTCTCTAAGTCACCCTGCAGAACGGCGGGCGACAGCCCATTCGCCAGCCGCCAGCCTCATCTTCATCATATTTGGTGGATGGAAATGCACCCAAGATCCTCATTAGAAATGAGCTTTGCAGTGTGGTTGGCTGGTGGGCATTAGGGTATATTCTGGATCACTTTACTTGAACAATGACTAATTTTTACTTCTAGCATTTTGGAGCCAGTTTGTTTTTCAAGCTTTCTCATAAGCCCCTGAAAAACACCGAGGCTGGCTTCGGCCAGGTGACTCCGCTGGCTGAAAGATCGTCCTGCGCACCAGAAGGCTGCGGGTTCCATTCCCCGTCAGGGCACGTACCTAGGCTGCCGATTTGCTCGCCAGTAGGGGCGTGGACCGGATGCAAGCGACTGAGGTTTCTGTCTCTCTCAAATCAATAAACAATACCATTGCTTATCTCTCTCAAAATCATAATCCTCCAGTGAGGATTAAAAAAAATTAAAAAAAAACACAGGCTGGAGGCCCAGGAGACGCACGGGACAGAGAAGGAAGTTGGAGGAGCCGTGCACGGAGTGAGGGTACACTCTGCTTTTGAGGGGAGCCTCACGTTTGGGGGCAGACACACACACTGGGGTCTCAGGGCCTCCCATTCACAAAGGACAATGCTCCCCCACTCCCCGTGACTTCTCTGCCCCCAAAACATCCCCCCCTCCCGCACAGTTGTTTGGAGCTGCCTCTGAGGTTGGCCCTGAACGACCTTCAGCCTGTTCCTATCCCTGACCTGGGCAAACATTGCAAGAAGCAAACAAACAGCAAACAGCCCACACCGACCTTGGAGCTGGGGCAGGGGTCAGAGACCTCCCCGCGGGGCCACCCCTGCTCTGCTCCAGCCTTTTCTCTTGCCCTCTAGGACTCGTTTTCAGGGGGGAGGTGGGGCAGAGGCTGTGCCGGCTTGGCTAGGTAATGTGAGATGCCCGGGTTCAAATTCACCCCTTGCCTGCTGGGGAGCCGTGGGTAGGTGGCTTTACCCCTCCTCTGGCAGCCTCAGTTTCCTCATCGGCAAAATGGGAATGATACAGAGCCGCCCCCCGCCCCCACCGTGGGGCTGCTGGGAGTCCATTCATCAGGTTGACCTGCTAAAGTCCTGCCCACGCACCTGGCGCTCAGGAAGCACGGACTTGGTAAACAGCAGCTGACGGTGACCCAGCACCTTTGTGGCTTATCTGGCAGCGCTCACAGCAATTTAGGTAAACAATCTCCTTTGCTTTCCTGGGCAGACAGTCCCAGACGCCCCTTCGGGAGGGGAGGAACAGGCCCAGAGGGGTTAAGCAGCTCGTACCAGGTCAAGTAGGCGGAGCCGTGTGGAACCAGGCTCTGAACCCCAAACCACGCCGCTTCTCAGGGCACAAAGCGTGGTGAGGTTCTCTCTCTCACTCTCTTTAAGATTTTATTTATTTTTAGAGAGAGGGGAAGGGAGGGAAAAGAGAGGGAGAGAAACATCGATGTGTGAGAGATACGTCCATTGGTTGCCTCTGGCACACCCCTAACGGGGGACCTGGCCCCACAACCCAGGCCTGTGCCCTGACTGGGAATCGAACCCGTGACCTTTCAGTTCACAGGCTGGCACTCAATCCACTGAGCCACACCAGCCAGGGTTCTCTCTCTTTTTTAAAAATCATTATTATGGCCCAGGTTGTTGTGGCTCAGTGGATTGAGCGCAGGCCTGCGAACCAAAGGGTCGTTGTGGGATTCCCAGTCAGGGCACATGCCTGGGTTGCAGGCCAGTTCCCAGTGGGGGACGCACAAGAGGCAACCATACACTGATATTTCTCTCCCTCTCTCCTTCCCTTCCCCTCTAAAGATAAATAAATAAAATCTTTTTTAAAATCTATTTAAAATTATTATTATGGTAAAATATATAATACAAAACATATCATTTTAACCATTTTTAGATGCATAGTTCGGTGACATTAAATACATTCGCAACATTGTTCAACCATCATCACCATCCATTTCTGGAACTTTCTTCATCATCCCAAACAGCAGCAACTCTAGAAGGTTTTAAGCAGTAAATAAAAGTTGGCCTCACCAGTCGGACTCCGCGGGTTGGAGCATTATCCCATATCCGAAAGGTTGCAGGTTCAATTCCCAGTTGGGGCACATGCCTGGGTTGGGGGTTCAATCTGCGCATCTGATTATGGGTCCAAGTGTGTACCGGGGGGCAGCTGGTCAGTGTTTCTCTCTCACACTGACGTTTCTCTCTCTCTCTCTCTCTCTTAGCAGTGAGGAAATATCCTGGGTAAGGATTAAGCAAAAAACTCCAGGAAGTTTTATTTTGCTGGTAATTGTTAGCGAGGAACTCCAAGGAACATTCGTGGAACACCTACTGTGTGCAGAGCCCAGGCTGGGGCCACCAGCATGGACAGCATTCTGCTGCAGGCCTCCAGGTGAAGATGGCCCCACGCACGGTCACTCAAACTGTTCGTTCAGGTGGGCTTGTCGGACTTCCCACCTAAACGTACAGGCCGCCTGGGGAGACTGGAATGTCAGTGAGACAACAGGTAATTCTTAGTGTGATTCCCAAATGCTGAATGGGACATACTTATACTAGAAATAAAAAAGATTATTTATCTGAAATTCCAGCGTCACTGGGAGTGAGTCCTGTGTTTCACTGGGCAACCGTAGACCAAAACCTTCAGCCCATGGTCTGCTGGCTGAGCCCTGCGTGCTGGCTCCTCGCCGGGCTCCCAGGAGAAAAAGGAGCATTTTCTCTGTCGAGCAGGGGACAACCTCCTACTACGTGCGCCTGGGGCTTTCCCTCCCGGGCCTCGCTCAGCCTGAGCACTGACTCTGCAAGGCAGGTGGTTATTTATCTTTTTTAAAGGCTTAAAACCCTCCCTTCACCCAGTTTTATTTTATTTTATTTTTATTTTTGAAAGATTTTATTTTTAGAAGGGAAGGAGGGAAACATTGAATGTGTGGTTATCTCTTGCGCGCCCCCTACTGGGGACCCGGCCCCACAACCCAGGCATGTGGGTTGACTGGGAATTGAACGGGTGACCCTTTGGTTCGCAGCCCACGCTCTGTCCACTGAGCCACACCAGCCAGGGCGAGGCAGGTGGTTACTACCTTCCCCATTTTATAGATGAAAACACTGAGGCCCAGAGAACGGGATGTATTCGCCCAGGCCACACGGTGAGGGCGCGTCTGGCCCTACAGCCAAGAGATGTTAGAGACGAAAGAAGGAATCGTGAACAGCTACAATCTGTAAGCACCTGCGTGGCCAGGCTCTGTGTTAGCACCTTTCCTTGTAGAATTTCACTGAATTAATATCCTGCCCGAAACATGGATTGTCAGCCCATGTTACGGAGTGGGAAACCGAGGCAGAAGTGGGGCCTATCCCATGAGGTAGAGCCAGGATTGGAACCCAGTTCAGCCCAGGAGGCCGAAGAACGTTCTGCGTTCCCCTGTCCGGAGAGGGTGCTGGGAAGGAGGGAGGCCGGCCGGGGGCGGGTGGAGCCTCTGACCGTTGCTGCCATCCAGGTCCCTCTCTCCCTGAAGTCCCTGCCAGGGGGCGTGGGGAGGTGGCGCGGGGGGAGGGCTCTGCTCAGGGCAGCCGCCCCCACGCCTCCCCCCACCCAGACGGCTGAGCACAGGGAGTCAGAACCCCCAGAAATGCGGCTCCCTGGGTGCAGGCCCCGGGCCCTGCCTTCCCTTTGCTTCTGCGTCTGCACCGTGCTCCTGGCCTGTGTTGTGGGTGAGTGGGTGGGTGGGTGTGGGGGCCCTGCGGCGGCCCGGGGTGCACGGGACTCTGACCTGCAGTGCAGTTTGCAGGCGCGTGGGTGCGGCGCTCGTGTGCTCGTGGTGTGCGTGCCTGGGAGTGTGTGGCAGCGGCAGCGGCAGCGGTGTGTACATGGGGTTGGAGCAAAGGACAGTGGCTCTGTGTGTGTGCATGTATGAGGGTGGGTATGTAGTCCTGGTAAGTGTGTCTGTGAACGTGTGTTTATGCACACGTGCTCATGTGTGTTTTTATGGGCTCTTTTTTTTTTTAAATTATTTGAGCTCTGGCTAGTGTATAGCTCAGTGGATAGAGCGAGGGCCTGTGAAGCAAAGGGTCGCCGGATTGATTCCCAGTCAGGGCACATGCCTGGGTTGCAGGCCAGGTCCCCAGTAGGGACACATGAGAGGCAACCACACATTGATGTTTCTTTCCCTCTCTTTCTCTCTTCCTTCCCCTTTCTCTAAAAAGAAATAAAATATTTTAAAAATTATTTAAAACAGAGAGAAGGGAGAGAGCGAGAAACAATGATTTGTTTTTCCGCTTATTAATGCACTCGTTGGTTGATGCTGGTGTGTGGCCTGACCAGAGATTGAACCCACAACCTTGGTGTATCAGGATAACGCTCTAACCAACTGAGCTACTGTACCAGGGCTTTTTTTTTTTTGCTCCTTTAAAGATTTTATTTACTTTTAGAGATGGGAAGGGAGAGAGAAAGAGAGGGAGAGAAACATCAATATCTGGTTGCCTCTCATGTGCCCCCCACTAGGGACTTGGCCAGCAACCCAGGCATGTGCCCCAACTGGGCACTGAACCCATAACCCTTTGGTTCACAGGCCAGCACTCAATCCACTGAGCCACACCAGCCACAGCTCTACCAGGGCCTTTGTTGGAGTCTTTATGCAAAAGCTTTGAGTGCGTGGGCACATGGGAGGGTGTCTGTGTGCCCCGGAGGGAGCTCACTGGGGCTGAGCACACGCATTTACAGCGTTAACAAGTGACAGGAGCCTACATGGCACCAGGCACCGTGGCAAGTGCCTTACACGCGTCCCCTCTGAATTCCCACAGTACCCGATGAGGTAGGGCCTGTCATTATCCAAGTCTGATGAGTGGGAAACTGAGTCCTGAAGAGGTTAAGTCATTGGCCAAGGGCCTAGCGCAGGTCGCGTGGGCACCTCTCTACACGTGTGTCCGTTTGTACCTGCGCGGTGGCTCTGCTCTGGGGGCGAGGCTCTGCCCAGGTGCACGGCCGCGGGACCATCGGGTGTGGGCACGGAAGTTGGGTGCCCACCGGGACAGCACAGCCGTGCCGGCCTCCACCCCTGAGGGGCAGACAGTCCTGTGCGCTCCCTCCACTGCCCGTAGGGTGAGTTCAGTGTGGGGGGCCCAGGAGAATGGAGGGGCAGCAAGATCAGCAGTGGAGGAGGCAAGGGGAGGGACACGGGGGTCAGAGAGCTGGGTGGCAGACTGAGGAGACAGCCACTGGCTGACAGGGGGTCGGTTGACGGGAGGGCACACAAGGTGAAAGGAGATGACCAAAGGTGAGAGGGACACAGAAGGAGGTGAAGGCCGGGGGTGACAAGGGCTGGCAAGGGGCGACAGGGGTGACAGTGACAGTGCACAGGGAGGGAAAAGGAGGAGGAAGGGTTCTGGGGTCTCAGCCCACCCAGGTCGCCCTCTGTCACACCTAGAATGCCAGGAGGACGTGCCTACGAGTTCCCCGAGCGCCCCTCCAGGGCTGGCAAGCAGATCCTGGGACGTGATGCTGGGCAAGATGAAGGGGCTCATGGAGCCACTGGTGACAAAGACCAGAGAGACCTGGCAGTGGTTCCGGTGAGCGTCGGCTGGAGGGGCTGCAGTCCGGACTCCTGGGTCTGAGGGAGGAGAGTGTGAATGAGGTAAAGTCTTGGGGGAGCCTGGGTTCCCAACTGTGATATCCCCTCCCCCACAGGGTCCCCACAGCCGTCCAGGGCTTTGCGCAGACCTACTATGAGGACCACCTGAAGGACCTGGGTCCCCGCACGCAGGCCTGGCTCCGCAGCTCCAAGGAGAGCCTCCTGAACAAGGCCCACAACCTGTGTCCCCAGTTTCTCTGCGGGGACCGGGACCAGGTTTAGTGTTCACAGCCTCCACAATAAAAGAAATTCTTGCCTGCGTCTGTGTCTGCATCTGTCCTCAGTGAAGCCAGAGACGACCGCACCCCATACCCCCCCAGCGGCTAATGAGTAGAGGAAGAGGCATCTGACCAGGGAGGGGCCGTTGGGGGCTGAAAGCTGGCGAGGAGGCGGGGTTTGCAGGACCCCACGGGGACCCCTCACGCATGGCCCTGCTTTTACTGCCCACTCTAGGAAGACCCTGGATCCCGTTCCTGGCGGGCGCCCAAAGCCCCAGCCCCTTCGCAGCCCCCACCCAGCCTGTCTCTCTCAGGGGTGAACTTTCAGAGTGGCGGCCCTCTGTGGCTTGACCTCACGGGGTGTCACTGCCCTCTGTACCCCTACCCCACCCCTTGTGGCTCTGTTGGCCTGGACTTTGGCCTAGGCAACCAGGTGGCGGTGGCCGTGGAGGGGAGGTGGATCCCAGGAGCTATAAAGCCTTTCTCTGCCCTCCCTTGGGAGCTGGTGAGGACTGCCCGCCAGAGTGTGGTAAGAGAGGGGCTAACATGGGTGGGGGGTCAACAGGGAGGGGGCAAAGATTGTTCAGGAGTCCTTGATGCTAGATTCCTGGGTTGGAAACACAGAATTCAGAACCGGAGGATGTTTGCCGCTGCCGGGGCCCCCTCCGGGGTCAGATCCCCCCACCTCTTCAAGAGCTGCACAGGCAGAGTGAGCGAACGGGAGTACAAGGGCAGTGCAAACACAGTCACTTAAGCTGCCTGAGTCTGACTGAGCCGGACGCAAGTCCCTGCAGCGACAGGGTGTCGACATAAACACCTCCCTCTGCAGGGGTCCCGGGCTGCACAGCACGCCTCCCCCTCCGGAGCACTTATCTCCTCGTGACACATTACATCTTCCTCATTTAATATTTATTTTTTAAAATAACTTTTTATGGATTTAGAGAGAGGGGGGAGAAACATTGATTTGTTGTTCCGCTTGTTTATGCATTTTTCAGTTGGTTCTCCTGACTGGGGATGTTGGTGTGTTGGGACGGTGGTCTAACCCACTAAAGCGAACCTGCCAGGGCTCATTCAATATTTGTTAATGGCGTTTCTCTCTCATGACAGCTTCCTAAGAGCAGGACTGTCGCTGGGTTCACAGCCAGGCCCAGAGCTGTGCTTGGCACTTAGTAGGTGCTCAAGAAAATTAGTAGGTGCCCAAGAAATGCTTCTTTTTAATTTTATTTAAGATTTTATTTATTTATTTATTTTTAAAGAGAGGGGGAGGGAAGGGGAAAGAGGGAGAGAAACATCGATGTGTGGTTGCCTCTCGAGCGCCCCCTATGGGGGAACCTGGCCTGGAACCCAGGCAGGTGCCCTGACTGGGAATCAGTCGAACCGGGAACCCTTTGGTTTGCAGGTCTGCACTCAGTCCACTGAGCTGCACCAGCCAGGGCTTCAAGCAGTGTTTCTTGAGTGAATGAATGGATGTTAGAATTATTATGTTAAAATCAGGAGGAGAGGCCCTGGCCAGACGGGTCAGTTGGTTGGAGTGTCATTCTGATGTGCCATGGTTGTGAGTTCAGTTCGATTCCAGGTCAGGGCGTTTGCAGGAGCCAACCAGTGGCTGCATGAATGACTGAAACAACAAACTGGTGTTTTTCTCTCTCTCAAATGAATTTTTAAAACTTTTTTTAAAAAGTCTAGCCCTGGCTGGTATAGCTCAGTGGATTGAGCACGGGCCTGTGAACCAGAGGATCGCGGTTCGATTCCTAGTCAGGGCACATGCCTGGGTTGCCGGCAGGTTCCCTGCAGGCCAGTTCCCTGCAGGGGATGCACTAGAGGCAACCATACATTGATGTTTCTCTCCCTTTCTCCTTCCCCTCTAAAGATAAATAAATAAATAAAATCTTAAAAAAAAAAAGTCTAAAAAACCAAAAAAAATCAGGAGTGCAGTCAAAGAATGTTAGACAGGGAGGTCCAAGCCAACCCAGGAGGAACTTGGCTTGGGACGGGGTGTGGGAGGGGGGAGCCCAACCCCCTCCCCTTGAATGCCAGGGCCTCGGGAATAGACGCCTCCAGCCACCCTACCCCGCACCCTCCTCAGTGTTCCAGGTCTTCTGACGCCATGGGCACCCGCTACTTCCTGGCTCTGTTTCTGGTCCTCCTGGTATTGGGATTTGGTGAGTGTGACCCGCAGGGGAGGCAGGTCTGCGAGGAGGGAGACGGGTGGTAAGCGTCTTCCTCGGCAGTTCCGGTCTGGCCCTGCTCCCGCCCCCTCCTCTCCCGCCCTGCCCATTCTCTCTCTGCTACAGGTCTGTCAGCTCTCCTAATCCACTCTCTCCCTGCAGAAGTCCAGGGGGTCCCTCTGACCCAGGAAGACGAGGCCAGCAGCTCCTCGCTGTTCTCCCAGGTGCAGGAATCACTTTTTAGTTACTGGGATTCGGCCAAAATAGCGGCCAAGGACCTGTACCAAAAGACCTACCTGCCCTCTGTGGACGAGAAAATAAGGTACCAGGCACTTCTACTGGACACACCAGGAGTCCAGGCCCCCAGCCCCTCTTCCCTCAGACCCTCTGTCCTTTCTCCCCAGGGACATGTACAACAAAAGCACAGAGGCTGTGAGCACTTACGCAGGGATTTTTACTGACCAGGTCCTTTCTCTTCTGGCCGGAGATGAGTGACAGCTGGATACCACGCACAGGAGAGGAGATAGTCCAGAGCCCAACAACTGCTTGGGCCCCGACCACCCCTCAACTCCCCGCTTCTTAGCAGCTCTCAGCATCTGGCTCCCAACTTTAGCCTGATTGCTTATCAATTAAAAAAAAGACAAATTTCTTCTCTTTGATGTGGTTGCTTTTATGAGACTTCAGGGACCCATTCATTCCAGCCAACATTTATTGAGCACCTATTATATGTACGTAGCCCTAACCTGGTGAGCGGGAACAAAGAGGTGAATAGTAACCATCAGTGATCATAACAACAAAATTAGACACTGCCCTTCACCAAGGCCCTTCTTTTTCATCTGTAAAATGACAGACTGTGGACATGGCTAACCTGCAGTGGCCTCTTGCCGCAGTGTCCAAGGCCTGGGCTGTGTGCCGCTAAGGGGCACGTAGGAGATCGTGGCTACTTAAATTTGGAGGTTCAGATTTGCAGACAATAAAAACCCCAAGTTGAAGGTGAATAGTTAAGCACTTTATTAAGCAAGAGCAAAGAGAAAGCAAGAGTCAAGAGCATACATTACCGGACAGGAAGTCACCAACACTGGGACACTGACGCCAGAGAAGCCTGGATAGAGCATTTGGGGTCCGACTGGGGAAAGTTCTGAGCAAAGCCTCCTTCACTCGGGTGGGATTCCAAAGTCTCACTGTGGGGGCTCTACTGAAATATGTTTTAGACAAAAGTGACTACATGCCAAGCACCTTTTGTGGCTCGACTGACTGGCCATTCCTTCTGGGAGAATAGGCAGTTCTTCCTCAAGGGAATGATCAGTGTTTACAGGTACCGAGATAAAGATTGGTGAGGAAGGGCTAGTTCTCCCCGGGAGACAGCACACCGATATTACACTCTTACAATAAAAGGTCACGGTTCAGGCATGAATGGGGAGGATTGTTAATATTTCTTTCATGAGTCAGACTGACACTTTATTTACTTATTTATTTATCTAAAGATTTTATTTATTCATCTTTAGAGGGGAAGGGAAGGAAACTAGGAGAGAAGGAGAGAAATATCAATGTGTGGTTGGTTGCCTCTTGTGGGTCCCCTGCTGGGAACTGGCCTGCAACCCAGGCATGTGCCCTGACTGGGAATCGAACCTCCATCCTGTGGTTCACAGGCCCTCGCTCAGTTCACTGAGCTACACCAGCCAGGGCAAGACTGACACTTTAAAAGTGCTCTCCATCGCCCGGAGTTTTCCACCACTCCTGTGATAGAGGGGAGACTGGTGCCCACAAATCACTGCTGAGCACAGGAAGTCAGTGCCCAGGTTGGCTGCGACCCACGAGGACAGACCTGCAAAAGTTGTCATCCGTGACAATTCCTGTGCATTTACTGAAACCCTACCAGGCCTTGGGGATACCGCGGGGAATAGACAGACAGTCCTGTCTCCCTCGAAAACCTGTTGATTGATTGGGTCCTGGCCCAATTTCATATGGTTTTACTGATTACAATTTGTGGTATGTTGCCCTGGCTGGTGTGGCTCAGTGGATTGAGTGCTGGCCTGTAAACCAGAGGGTCGCTAGTTCGATTCCCAGTCCAGACACATGCCTGGGTTGCCAGCCGAGCCCCCAGTTGGGGGCATGCAAGAGGCCACCGATCAATGTTTTTCTTCTCTTTCTCCGTTCCCCTCCCCTCTCTAAAAATAAACAAATAAAATAAAATCTGTATGTCAGTTGTTCCCTTCTAATGAACAACAGCTGTAACATTTCCTGAGCTCCTGCTCAGGGCCAGAAGCTCTGTTCCATCTCAAAGACACTAACAGAGAAGGTATTTGGGGTGGGGTGGGGAGTGGGCAGAGGATGAGCAAGCCGACCAGCGGAGAAGATAACTTCAGCAATATAAGGAGAAGAAGTGCAGATATCAAGGCCTGGGTGCGGCCACTTTGGATAGGTGGTAGGCTGGGTGTAGGGAGGGCCCCCAAGAGGCCCCAGCTGGTCACAGGGCTGTGCATCGCAGCTGCACTGTGGCTGGGGATGTGTTTACTGGAGAGTGGGGGAGGGGTGGGGCACTCCTTTGACCCTGGGCCTGGGTGCGGTGGATAGTGACTGGAAGAGGGTCTCTGGGGAGTGGGGTATGGCAAGCAAAAAGCACAGGGTGTGCAAATAAGAACAGAGGCCCTGCAGCCTGGGAGAGGCAGTGCTGGGTCCTGTGGGTAGGGGGGCCGGGCACCTGGACCCCTGGATCCTGAGGGAGTAGAGGGTGGTCCTGGGGCCCCAGGTCCTAGGGCTGGGACTGTTGGCCTCTAAGGACCCAGAGCCTGTATTTCTCCTAAGCTGTTTGGTATTAATCTCGGGCCAGCCTCTCCACACTGCTGGGGCAGTTTCCCAGGTCCTGAGGCTGGGCAGCTGTGAATCTAGTGGAAAACGGGCCTTGGGGAGGGGTTGTGGGAAACGTCCCTAAGTCCCAGGGCCCAAGAGGAGCTGAGGCTGCCAAACCGAGCGGGTGGTGGAGAGGGGGGTGCTCTGGGGGAACAATCCCTTCTCTGTCCACTTGTTTCCCACGGACTCAAGCCAAACCAAACCTCGGCCCAGGCCAGTTCTGCTTCCAACCAATCCCGGTGCCCTTCCCAGACTCCTCCTTCCTTTCTCAGGTCTCTGCTGCAGTCCTACTCCCCTCACGACCCCAGAGTTCAGGCCCCCAGACCCCTCCTCCCCGAGAACTCAGGAGCCTGGGACCCCTGATTTCTCCCTCAGACCCAGGAGTCCAGCCAGACCCCAGTCTCTTCTGAAGACCCAGTTCAGGTCCCCAGCCCCCTTTTCCCTTAGAACCTGAAATCAGAGCCTCTGGTTGGTGTTGGGCGTCCCCTAGTGGAGGGCAGAGTGGGTAGGGCTTGTGATTATTTGCTAGTTGGAAGGAATTTATTTGGTCTCTCAAAAGACATGGGGGAAGGGCTTTGCAGGGGTCCCATCAAAGGTCACAGTCTAGCCAAGAGCCTCTAATGCTTCCACAGGCCAGATCTCAGCTGTATATGGGAGAGGGAAGACAGACTGGGGCATTCGGTGTCTGGAACTGAGAGCAGAAACAGGGTTACAGGGAAGCTGAAAATCTAGCTTCAATGCCTCTCACTTGTCTGGGTTTTCTGTGGTCCTCTATTCAAAACTGTCCTTGTCGTTCTGTACTTTTAAAAGAGGCCTACAAAATCTCAGTCTGCTTCTCTCCACTCCTCCCCTACTCTGTCTTAGGGATTTAATTAGTATGTACATTCACCCCTGGACTTAAAGACTGGGCCCACAATGTCACAAAATCATCATTACTACTATTGTTATCTGTCAGAGAAGGGGACTGAGCATGAAGTTTTCTAAGGTTTCTTCTTGCCCTGGTGTTGCCCTCATAGGTAAGTCATTCACTTTTTTTTTTTTTAAGATTTATTTATTTATTTATCTTTAGAGGGGAAGGGAAGGAGAGAGGGAGAGAAACATCAATGTATGGTTGCCTTTCATGCATCCCCTACTGGGAACTGGCCTGCAACCCCAGTATGTGCCCTGACTGGGAATCGAACTGCGATTGTCTGGTTCGCAGGCCCGTGCTCAATCCACTGAGCTACACCAGCCAGGGCTTAGTCATTCACTTTTTGCACTCAAGAATTTCTTCCTTTCACTCAGCAATCACCTCCTGGGGAAGTGCTGGAGGACACAGCAATCACTGGGACAGTCTGGGTTGGCTTGCTTGCCCTGAGGCAAGACACAATATACCCATCCCTGACATTGATGACCGGAAGTGAGCAGGGTGGGACAAGGAAGTCCAGGGATCTTGGAGCATTGGGAGGCGGTGCCCCACCCGGCCTGGGGGGGCCAGGGTGGATTTCCAGGAGGGTGAGATATTTACTGAGAGAGACCCAGAGGAAAGTGGAGGAAGTAGATAGTAAAATAATAATTGGAATTTTTTCCATTGTGTAGGTTTGCGGTGAGAGCGCAAGATGTTGATCACTTACTAAGTGGAGGTAGGGGGCCAGGTGCGTATATGATGCCTAGTGTATAAGAGGAAGAAACTGAGGCTCAAAGAGATGTTACTTGTCCGGGATCACTTAACCAATCAGTAGTACAACCAGGGTGTGAACTCAGGTCAGATCTGCACCCAACTCACTGGTGAAGGCTTAACAGCCGCTGGAAATTTTGTCCCCCTTCGTAAACACCCTCCCCAAGCCAAGAGTCTCTGAACAAGTGCCCAGGCTTAGAGCTGTAGACAGATACATAGCTAAGAAAGCATGGAGTTCGTAGAGTGCCTGAAGCCGAGTTCAGGGCTGCAATGTTTGCTCTAAGCAAGCAAACCATCAAGAGGACGCGCTGCTAAAATAGCAGCCCGGGGGCTAGTGGAGAGGCTGCCAGGATCCAATTTCGAGGTGTGGTGGCCGTGAGAACCCTGATATAATAATGCTCTGAGTGGACAGGAACACTGTAACCTAAAGGGTACTTGGAGTGAAAGGTTGAGTTAGCAAGAGTTCAGAGGGCGAAGGTATTGGCCACACACCTTAGGCTGCGAGTCTGGGTATGGTGGCCAGGAAGGTTTCTTTAACGCAAGAGGGGCGTGGCTCGAGACAGACGTTTTGAAGCGTTACGGTGGCCGGGGAAGCTCAAGAAATATGAAACGGAAAGAATTCAAAGAACCATCGGAGTGAAGCGAGCAGGACGGTTTAGAAGGCTCATATACCTGGAAGAGGCGAGTTTATTCGAGGGAGCAAAAGTAATGGAGACTGTGGGAAACGCATATGTTACTTCAGAAAGTCCTGGGAGTTCAGAGCAGGCAGTGTCTACAAGGGGGAAACAAAAGGGCTACTAGGAGGGGGAAGTACGGTGGCCGGATTGACTCTTTCATAGCCGGAAGCCGCTTTTCCGAGAGGCGTGGCTGCGGCGTTCTTGCCCCGTACGGTGGCCGGCGGGTCAAGCAAAGGTGAAATCTCGCGCGATCGCACTGGTGCCGTCGGGGACGGGGCGGGGCTGGCGGCGGGGGCGGGGACCCGGAGCGGGAAGATGGCGGCGGCGCAGGAGACGGACGGGGCAGGCAGCGCCGTGGTGGCGGCCGGAGGAGGAGGCTCCGGTCAGGTACGGAGGCCGAGAGGGGACTAAGGGGTTCTTCCCCATCTGGGGGGCCTCCTACGGGGCATGTCCTGCCCCTTACCGCAGAACCC